AATGCTTCATCATGCCGATTATTGTCTTTTCATGCTTTCTTTCTGTATTCACTCCATTAAACGCCATCGTTCATCTGTTCAAAACATTCATCTGTTCATGTGATCACATGGAATCAAATAAGCAAATCCTGGTTTATTGTTTACTTCCTCGTCAATTCTGGAAATGTATCCCATTAACATATTTGCTCACACGGCTCGTTGAAGAATGCCATGCCATGGCATGCTTCTTGCATTGCTACACTTCCTACATATCACTGCTTTATCTGATTAAAAATGTTCCATTTAATTTTTCTGAATTTCCATTTTTTATCTCGCATCAGTGAATCTCTTTTCGAATGAACGGGTGATGAAGCAATTTCCTAGTATTTACTAAAATGAATTTGCAAAGGAGGGAAGTTTCTGTTAAGTCGCACACTTTTATTGTGGATGCAAAAAGAAGTGTGTGTTGGATTAATTGGAGAACGATTGGGTACATGAGACCACAACATTTCTTCATTTGTTTGCTTATTGTTAGCACTTAATAGCACAGTAAGACGTTCCATTCGGGGATGACTGAAGAATTTTATTGCCGCCTTTATTACTTTAAAGAAATTCAATTGGGTTGTGTTGATATCCGCAACGATATTATTTAGTCATTTGGAAATTCGTCCTTTCATTCAGCAACTAAAGTATACGAGTGATTTAATCTACAAGCAGTTCTTTCGTTCTCATCTAATTCAATCTTATAGCTGAGTCACTATTTTTATCTGCAAAATTTCAGACGCTCAATCCTTCTGAAGTTATTTTTTGTGTTATCTGAATAATGAAAAGATGTGACTGTTACGGAAATGATTCCATACATTTCATCTTCAAGAATCTCATCTGAGCTATCAAGGGCCCTTGTGACGTCCGTGTGATCTTTATGCTTGAGGAAATTAATTCGTTGTGACAGCGGCACAAAAATTTAGAAAATTTTCGAATTTGAACTCAAGAATTAAGCAATTAAGCAGTTCACTCAAAAATTAAACAAATTAAGCAATTTGGACTCAATCAAGCAGACTCAGCGGCAGTTTTTTTGGTTTCTGCTATGAATGATTCTAATGAGGTAAGTATTTCAGAACGTGCTCGATGAGCACAGCGCTGGGTAAGATGCCCTCAGCACTGAGACGTGCATTCACATCGTTCATCAATCTGTTCGTACCTCAGACGTCCTCTTCAGCAGTTCGGTGAGTTGTGTTGCGTTGCTTTTCAATTCATGGGATGTCGAGAAGAATTTTGGAAGAGGAATATTCATTATTCGGTTGAAAATTCATGGTTGTTTGTGGCGTTCACAGTAAACAAAGATTATTCGTGCTGCTGATCTATCAAAGCACCAAAATTGCATCTCACTCTTGAAATCCACCGAATAACACTTTTGGATTCACCGAATCCCATGAAAGATGATTTTCTATAGAGAATCGATTAGAATTAATCACATTTGGAGATAATTTTTTTTTAAGTGGTCAAGCAATCAAGAATATTGAATCGGTAGTCTTTGAGTTTTCATTTGTTTGGATTATGCAATTGAAACTTTGAGAAACAATCATATTTTCTACCATTTCATTAGTTGATTCTCAGAGCTTTTTCACCGTTGAAGTTACCTTCGCTGCCCTCTCAGACTTCTCACTGCTCATACACTCACCGAAATCCTAATCTTCAATATTTAGCCGACGGCGTGAATAACTGAATAAACATGCATGTCTCTATTTTCCGCGTAATGGATCTGACATCATCTCAATCATTTATTCATCTGATTGCACATCCTTAGACTTGACATTACTGAAAACAAAAAACTGACAGCGAGAAAGTATTCAGAGACATGAGTAAATTTCGATTAACTGAGCAAGATGAATTAGATCCACAGTGTACACAAGAATATCTGAATTTGTTCTATAATAGTTGTTTTGTGAGTGGTGCAACGAAAGGATGCATCACTACGATATTTGATTCTGAAATATTGCTTTTAGTGTGAATAGCTCGAAGTTTATGTCATTTTCCAAAGTAAATGCTGCTGCTGCTGCTGCTAATGTGCAGAATATGATTTTAACTCGTTTTCAATCAATCAAAACTGTTGATTGTGAGTAATTTCTTGAATTTATGCTCCCACATTAGGAATTCATCAACTGTTTATTGTTTCTGATGAATTCCTAATGTAGGAGCATAAATTTTTTCAGGAAAATATGTACCTGTGAATGAATACTTATGTGAGAAATTTTCCAAGATGACTGTATCTATTACTTAATGAATGTTACATGCAATATTTACTAAGTAAAGCATTCGTGAGATGTAATTGTTAGCGTGAGAGATGAAATATATGTAGAC